TTTTTGTAATTTATGAGAAAATAGCAGTGTAGATGGATAAAGTTAAGAGTGCCATTTTTGTGCAATTCTGGGATTTTTTTTAAGTAAAAATAACTCGACGTGTAAATGGTTTATGTGTATGTGCTATTCTGAAAAACGTGCAAGGAGTTTGCGATTGTATACTTTTTCCTAATTTTGCAGTTAATATTTGTCATGATTAAGCAGTTTTGTTACATAAAATTTCTAGCATAAGTGTAATTCGGCTAGTAGATTGTTGGAAAAAGTGTTCAGTAAATAAAAAGAAAAGAAACAAAGACAAAATGGCGGCAAAAAAAAATAGAGGGTTGCTGTAGCAGAGTTGGTCGCCAAATTTTCGCCAAAAAATCGCCAAGTTACCATAATCCAAAGATCAACCCAAATAAATATTAAGCTTTTTTTTCTTGTAAATTTTGATACCCTTTAGATTATAATTGCTCTTTATTTCATAAATTACGGTTGCATAGTTTTAATTTTATAATTTCTGCATGCCATCTTACCAGATTTAAATTGATGATCTATAATCTGGAAAAACCCCCTAATCCTGAATTGTCGAAGTCCGTATTAAAGACTTTGTACTGTATATATTTATTTACTCAATAATTGTTTACAAGAATTGTTCATTCTACTATTTTATGATGAATTACATATATAGGACTATGTTTTTACTCATCTAGTATTTTATCATCTCATTTTACTGCTCTGTTAACATAAAATAATGGCATTTCACTACTGCTAAACTTTAAAGTTACAATTCTGTTTACGTTTAAAAATCACATCTTAGTGCTTTCATTGCAGCCTAAAAAATTCGCCAAATTTTGAGAACCAAAACAGTTTGGTGCCAACTTACGCCGCTTATGGAATATTAGCCCTCGTTTGACTAAGGAAACACTCTAAAGAAACATCCATGCATATCTCTTTCAGTTCCTCCAAACACCCATCTTTCGTACTCCTCCACCTTAGCAATCCTACTTACTCCTCCAGTTTTGCAACTATCTCTTACTATAACATAAATACAGATTTCCTTGCAGAAATTATACCACTTGATTACTGTATGATTAAAAACATTCAGGTTTTCCACTGCAGATTCCTGAAGGCACCTTCCACACCACTTTTGCTTCACTAACAAAACTGGGTTTAATCCTAGCATATGTTACACGTGGGATTTGGCAAGATTATAATCAATAAACGAGTCATTTTGGTATTGGTGACAATTTTCAAAATCATGCCAAGGCCGTACCGTATACTAGGATTTTAACCCAAACCGTACACATATCCAAATTACTCAAACGAAACCAAGATTATTTCCTTACTGGATACTACTACGGACATTATTAAGCTTTACTACACAGATTATGCCTTACTTTTCTCACAGATTTCTACAAAACCATTTAAAAACATCATTTGAAATCTTTTTATCATTCCTTTCTCTCAATTTCACACTTTTTCCACATTCTAGATATGCAAACAGTGATTCAATCAAACCCTGTTTCTTACATTATTCTAATACAGCTTTCTAAAGTAGGCAATATGGCAAAAAACACCTTTATATATATAAATAAAATAAATTATTCAGCAAAATATTCAGCATACTTCAACATGCATTCATTCACATTTTCACCAATACTAATATCATTGGAGGCCATTGCAAGCATCTGCACAAATTTTAGTAAAGGAAATTTACCTGAAAAGAACTTATTCACTCTTGTAAGCTGGGCCAAAGAATGAAGAGTAATGGGTTTTCAAAGGATTGTTTTAACCCAGCATTACTTGTGCAAGACAAACGAACGGGATTACGAACTGGGTATGACATACCCAGCGCGGTTTCTTTCTTTCTTTTACCATTAAATCTGCACAGCTTTTCTGTCTTTTTTGGCTCAGCATTCAGCATATCTTTTATATGTCATCTTTACCTTCTTAGCAGGAGGTGTATCGTCCTCATTGTTGCCCAGTTTTACTTTTAGGCTTTACAGGAGCATTGCTTGTTGACTTCTTATAATCTTCTATCAGTTGAAATGGCAGTGTTTTTAGAAATTAATGTCAGGCTCGATGTCCATAGGTGGTTTCTTTGTTGAAAACAAATTTATGCTATGCGTGCATTTATTGCAGAAACGTGGAATAAAAAATAGCCGTAGGCCAGCGACTTGTTTTTTTAACCATTGAATACATTGCAGCCATTTTGGTTGATCTTTACAATATGGTAACTGGTAGTTTGGCGACATTTTGGAGGCGATAAAGGTTACTACCTGGGACTTTGGTAATAATGTGAGCAGTACTCAGTTCCGATTACGCATTATTTTGTGTGAGGGAAAATGAGAGATCATGGGATATGTCATTGTGATATTAATGGACGAATTACGGTTCTTTAATCGGAAAAAATGGGGGGGAATCGGAAAAAAATCTGGAAATTTTGTATTTGGTTTCTGTGTGTGTGTGATGAAACAGTGTTCGTGACTTTTTGGATCCCATGGCCGTAACTAAAGAAAAGTTTATCGGACACGTAATCAAGATTCTGAAGACATTAGGTAGTTAGTATTTTTAATTATTGAGGTATTATTTTTATGCATTGTTCTAAATGTAAGGTGGAAGTAAAGGAATTCGGTATTATTGGGAAAATTGTTATTAGCAATGATTTAGTTTAAAGTAATTAGGATTGTAAGGTAATTTTTATTAATTTAATGTATGTGCTCATTTATATTTTAAGTAGTGTTTTTGAATTTAATTATATTTAATTAAATGATAGTTATTTTGTTTTTTTTTTGAATTTATGTTTGTAGGAATTTGGTATACGTTTAAGTTGAAGTAAACGTGCATGGAATAATTTAAATATTTGATACCAAGTATTTGTAATGCTTGCGGTATGAATTCGTTGGTGACGTGTAGAATGTAATAGATGATTTAGAGGTAAACAGTTTTTGGATATTTTATTTATTTTATATGTGGGAAATGTTCATATTTGGAAAGGGTAAATACTTTTTCGCGATCAGGTAATTTCATATATGTTCTTTTTACCGGGTTTAAAGATTGAGAAAATTGTCATGTATTTTCATGAAATTTTTCTAATTTATGAGAAAAAAGCAGTGTACATGGATATAGTGAAGAGTGTGCGCAATGCCATTTTTGTGCAATTCTGGGATGTTTTTTTAAGTAAAAATAAGTCTTAAAAATTATTACTTAAAAATTATTACTTAATAATTTTTAATTAAAATAAGCGTGTACATGGTTTATGTGTATGTGTTATTTTGAAAAAAACGCGTAAGGAGTATGGTTGTGCACTTTTTCCCAATTTTGCAGTGAATATTTGTCATGATTAAGCAGTTTTGTTAGATAAAATTTCTAGCATAAGTGTAATTCGGCTAGTAGATTGTTGGAAGAAGTGTTCAGTAGATAAAAAGAAAAGAAACATGTCTTCAAAATAGAGGCTTGCTGTAGGAGAGTTGGTCGCCAAATTTTCGCCAAAAAAACGCCAAGTTACCATAATGTAAAGATCAACCGCCATTTTATCCACGACATCCACAAATTATATTTTTAGCAGAAAGGTCTAACATGTCCACGGAGTTTCATTTTGTTATATTATCCTTTCCTATAAAATAGTCACTTTCACTTGAATCACTATATTTTTCCTATAAAATAGTCACTTTCACTTGAAAGATCGCCCTCTAAATCAGATTCTATTTCAGGCAAAGATTCGTCTTCACTGTAAATTGCTTCATTATCTGCCTCTTCATTATTGGAAAACTCATTACCTTCACCCGAAGAAACAGTATCAAGTAAATTTCTTAAATGTTGTATTTCTTCATCATAACTTCAAAAACGCGCCATAATGAGAGAACGATTTCAATTCATCTACCAGTACTCAGAATGGTAACAGTAAAGCTCGGGCTGGGTGTGACATACCCTGGAGTGGCGGTTACAAGATATCTTTTTTAGAACTTTTTCCCATACGGGAATACCTTGGGGGCTGCTACAAGAAAAATCGTTTAATCTTTGGATTATGGTAACTTGGCAATTTTTTGGCGACCAAACCCTGCTACAGCAACCTGCTAGTTTTTGTTTGGATGCCATTTTGTTTTCACGAAGTAAAGGAAATTTTTTTTTTAACTCAACATTTTTTTCCAACAATCTGCTAGTCAAATTACGCTTATGCTAGAACTTTTATGGAACAAAAATGCTTAATCATGACAAAGATTAGGTGCGAAATTGGGAGAAAGTGCAGAATCGCAAACTGCTTGCTGTGCTTTTAAGAATTGCACATACACGGTATCCATGTACACGTCGACCTATTTTCACTTAAATAAAAATATCCCAGAATTGCACAAAAATGGCATTGCGCACACTCTTGACTTTATCCATGTACACTGCTAGTCCTAGCTAGTAACCTTTATCGCCTTACCAAAATGTCGCCAAACTACCAGTTACCATATTCCAAAGATTAGCCGAAAAATCATCTATTTTTAAAAAATGGTTGGAGAGAAAATGCGAAAAACGGAGGGGGTGGGTAGGACATACCCAGCGCGATCAAACGCAGGTTAAACAAATGATTCTCTCTGGTCTGTTCCAATTTGATCAATATAAGTTTCCATTCCAAGTCCAGTGGTAAAGATAATGAAATATTTACTTTACAATCGGCCAATAGTAAAGATGATTAAATACACTACAATTTTCTGCGAATCGATTGACAGCTGTACCTGATATTCGAAAACACCATAAAGATCACGCATCCGCATTGAATTTATTTCAGTAATAATTCATAAATAAATACGCATTTCAAATTTACCGTAACATAAATTAACTTAAGACTTTTTCAAAAGTGGTCAAAATTCGCCAATATTACAGTAATAAACAGTTTGCAGTAAGAGTTAAATAATAATCATGAAACATATATAAAAGAAAAAGATTAATTCTAAACACAGTAAGACATGTGTAAAAAATATACATTTAACGAATTTTAGTTTACAACAACACGGGTGTTCATTTATACTTACATAATATAATTTTAATTACAGAGCACATGGTCATGTTTACAGACGGACGATACGGTGACGATCATAAAGGTGAGGAGGAGCGGTACTTTCTTTAAAATTTTATAAACATTCATTTTACTCATTTTTTCAGCTTACATATTATTTTTGCTAATTTATTCTTTAAAAAAATTTTATGTCTACACCACATGACTTCCTTGTACGGAATATTAAATTATACGCATTTTTTCTTGCATTTCATTACAACTTATTGAGTTGAATTAAATCTACTTCGTCGATAGCGCATAAACCACAATAGAATAAATGCACCTTTTAAAATTGACTATATTTGTTTACCATAGCGACTCTTACATTTCATTCCTATTACAACTCAGAATGCACAAAATTTAAGGGCGGCTAAAACCCGCTCGGAACTGAAGAAATGAGATACATTCCGCAGGAGAAGAAGAGGAAAAATGTAGTCACGTGATTTAATAACAACATTCGCATGTGCTATGTTTACAGTGGAGTTGATAGCAGATATTCCGCTAAAATTAATTGGTTTTACGAATTTAGAAATTTATAGATATTGTGAGGACTTAAAAAATACGCTTGGAAATGAGTTCTCTTTCTTTTTTCCAAAAAGAAGGGCGATGGAAAAACATGTGAACAATATTGATTTCAAAGTAATACCGGATAGCACGGTATTTATAACAAGCTGTGTTAAGGCCGAAATGAAGAAATCAATTAATTATGAAACATCTGTGCAAATTTCTGCAGGAAACGAGGTAAGATTTATAAATTTTTCTTATGCATGATGCTTAGCAGTATTAACATGCTAAAATAAAAGTTAAGATGTGTAACTTTATAGGTTAAACAGCTTGTAGTATCTGGAGACTGTTTGGCGATCAACAAAGCACTCTTGGCGCATGTAGCCTTTTTTCCGGGGTGGGTTACAGTATTTTTGGAGAGTTGCATCCTCTACATTTTTTTTATACTGTAGGAGCGATGTACGGCTCTGAGTTTAATATTATGCTTTAAATGTTAGTTTCGTCTGGTTAAACGGTGCCGTATTCAACCACGAAGCTGTCACACAGTTGAAACCTGGAAACTTAACAGTTACACGATTTTAACTTAAAAGCTAAGATTTGTAACTAAGTACTTAAATAATTGTTAGTGACCTACATTTATTTCTGACAAAGAAAGCCTTCCTGTCATGGAATGGCAATGCTTTTCCAAAAAGTATGTATCAGGAGTTCTCAACCAAGGAGGAATTCGCTCCTTGGGGGGGGGGAGGAGATTTCATAGTTTCATGATGGGGGATGCGATCAGGCTTTTATTTTATTTAGTTTTATGAATTTAAAAAACTATTTTTATTCAAGTTTTTCTACGTATCAACATTTTCTTTAATTTATAAAATGCATTAAAAAGAAAAAAGTTATGAACCACTGCTATATACGATTCTACTCATCCAAAATTGTTAAGTAATAAAAGCAAGAACTGCTAATTTGTTATAGGTAATCAAAAAAACAATTTTTAAAACTGAGTTTTTTATCGCCAATGGCGAATTTTTTGACGAAATTTTAAAGCTTTGTGAAATATAGTATACATCTATGTATATTTAAGCAATTCTGATTGATGGATCTGATTCTATTCTTATTTATTGTATTCTATGCTGATCTTGATTCTATTTACACTTATTTAGATTAACTAACTTTTTATGATATTATGTACTTTTAAATTAAAAAAAAGTATTTTCGGATTTTCGCGGATTGCTGTTAACTAACTTTTATGATATTATGTACTTTTAAATAAAAAAAAAGTATTTTCGGATTTTCGCGGATTGCTGTTTACCAATAATATTCACGTTTAATCAGTTTTCCAATAACGTTACAATTTGCATTTGCTTGAACTTTATATTACTATATTGCTTGAACTTGGATTTAAGGGAAAATATACTTGATTCTTTAAGGAAAAATATACTTGATTCTACACTGCCCAACAGAAAGCTATAACCTTAATTGCTGAATTATTAGAACTTTAACAAAAATTAAAACAAAAAAAAAAAAAAAAAAAAAAAAAAAAAAAAAAAAAAAAAAAAAAAAGAAAAATGTTTTTTGTCAACAAAGACAAATATTTTGTAAGAATTCACTGTGAAAAATATAAAATAATGCAAAATATACTTTCATATTATTAAAAATATTTTTTCTATAGAACGCTATATTTCCAACTTTAGAGAAATAAATTATAAGTAGAATTTTATCAATCGAATAGTTGATAATTTTTTTCGTTTTATAGCCTTGTCAGGTCAAGAGAATATTCTCACAACATTCGCACTGCAAAACATTTCAACCTGTTTTTTGATGCAAATTACAATGAAAATCTTTACATATTATTTATATAAACTGTATTTATTCCTTTAAAGTGCTGCCTCTTGTTTTTAGTCCAAAGGAGCTTTCCCTGAAGGACTTGTTTTCGTTTTGCGATTTTGCGTTCGTTCCCTATAAATGTCTATTTCACTTTTCAAACTGTTGCCACCCAATGTTAGAGTCTGCATTATATTTGAAGAAATTAAATAATGAAAAATCTGCATAGATGTATGTATATTTCTCGCATTGTGATAAAACAACGGTACACAGAGCCATCGAATTTAAAATGGCGTAATCCTACTGCGAATATGGGTATGTGTAAGCCCAAGTTTGAAATTTGGAATTTTTTTTATTATCGATTTTCATATTTTGTAAAACTTTAACGAATTTTTAATTAACAAAACTCCAGGGATTTCCAAAGCGAGCCAGTGGCAACTTTGTACAGGAAAAAACAAAAAAAAAAAAAAAATCTACCAGCGAGCTTGAGACTCAGTATCGGAAATTCTAAAGCATAGGCCTCAGTTTAATAATTATTTTGCGATATTGCTCTTAATTAAGCAACAATCTTAAGCTGAATTTTATGGTTTAAGTGCGAAGAACGTGACATTTAATAAATAAAGGTAACAGATAAAATGTTTAAAAAAAGCCTATTTAGATTTAATTTAAAATTTGAAACCTTTCAGATTAAAAAAAAAAAAAAAAATTAATGTTTTTATGTTTCCAAGCTGGGAATAACTTAATTTTAATTTGCTGTTAACTCGATTGCCAAAGTTTTGAAATTAGAGGCACATTGTTTTAGACTTTTAATTCTAAACTGTGTTTATTTGATGGTATAAAAACCGTACAGCAAAAATATGACATTAGCAGATTTTAACCAATATATCGTATTTTCTGGCGTTTAAGACGCACTTTTTTTCTTTGAAAATAGGTTCTGGAAAAAAAAAAAAAAACTGAAATGTTTCAGATTTTAAATTACGTCCAAAGGGGCGTTTTTTTAACGTTTTGAGTGTTACCTTTATTTATTAAATATCATGTTCTTTGCACTTAAACCATAAAATTCAGTTCAAGAGCAATATCGCAAAATAATGTTAAATTAAGCATATCTTTAGAATTTCCGATATACACAGTCTCGCGAGCTGGAGATAAAAAGTATTTTTTTTTATATAACGTTGCCATTTCTCGCTTTTTAAAGCATTGAGTTTGCAAATCAAAAATTCGTTAAAGTTTTACAAAATATAAAATCTATAATAAAACAAATTCCAAATTTGGGATTTCAGATGCCCATATTCGCAGTAGAGGATTTCGTCATTCAAAATTCGATGGCTCTATGTACCATTTGTTTTATCACATTGCGAGAAATAGACAATCATTTATGCAGATTTTTCATTATTTAATTTCTTCAATATAATGCAGGACTCTAACATTTTGTGGCAACAGTTTGAAAAGTGAACCGACGTTTTGAGTCCGACGCAAAATGCCCAAAACGAAAGCAATAGTCCTTCGGGACTAAAATCCCTTTGGACTTAAAAAAAAAAAAAAAAAAAAAAAAAAAAAAAAAACTAGGTGCGTCTTATACGCGATACTCAATTTTTGATTGCATTCATTTCTGGAAATTTCCTCTGTTCGGAGTTATGCCATTTTGAATGGGTCAGAGACTCATGGGATGCTGTGAAAACCTAGACAGTGGTTAAATCATTTAGGAAGTGGGGCATTAGTAATGCGCTGGATGGTACAGAGGATAATTTGTTGTATGAGGATTCAGATGTTAATTTAGTTAATTTAGAAGACGTTTCAAGTGATTCTTCATTTAGCTCTAGAGATGAGTGTCTGGGTTTGGACGAAGAAGGTTAAATTGTGTTCTTTCCCATGTAGATTCAGTACTTGCAGAAAGGATTACTTTGCATTTGCATTACTTTATATTTAAAATACTGTAAATTTGTGATAGTGATCAATAATAAAGTTTTATCCTTCAAAAATGTGTATAAACAAGTGGATGCATCTTATACACTGACAAATACGGTATATTAGAAAGAGAAATCTAATTTCTGAGATTTTAAAAGAATATGAGAGTCAAAAGGAAACTGCGGTTGAAGAAGCTGTAGGACCAGTTCTCGGCCAAATCAACTGAAGGTGTATCAGAAACCCCTATACCGACAATATTAAATTGGAAATTTTCGATGTACCTTTTCTCAAAATCTGCTATAGATACACGCTTGAAATCTTGAAATTTTTTGTGTAGGTCATGTATATCTATCTGATTATACTGAACTGAGCTTTTGAAACATTTTGAATTTTAGAATAATTTACAGAATATTTTCTTAGGCATAGTAAAATTAGCACTTTTCTCACACAACAGATTAAACATTTTTTTTCTTAGTTTATCACAAAATTTCATTTCAGTAAATATTAGGAAACCTAATAAATAAGCCATACAAATTTTAGATACTTGTGAGCAGTAGTTTTTGAGAAAAGGTACATCGAGTATAGAAAAATCACGTTTGGAGAGAAACGCGTTTTTACGTAAAAATCCTCATTGATCAAAGCATTCGAAAACAAATTAAAACTAGATTTTTTACAGTTTTAATTTTCATAGAGATTAAAGAAGGGTATTTTTAGAATGATAAAAGTGTAGAGAATTTGAAAATGCAAAAATTCGAAATCATCATGTTTTTGGAAGACTTTTGGGTTCCAACACCCCTGGACTGGTTCTGAAAATAAATCAGGCGACAAATTTGAAAGTGAATCAGCAGTTATTTTGTCAAATAATGAATTTGGGGAAACAAAAAGTATCTGAAAGCCTTTAGATTTTATATTTCGTACGAAGCTTATTTTCTTCATTTACATAAACCTACATGTTTGGGTTAAAATATTTAAAAACAGCATATCTTTAGAAGTTTCGTTAGACAGTCTCGTGCGCTGGACACAAAAAAGGTTTTATTCCGTACAGTGTTGTCACTACTCGCTATAAAATTGTTGACTTTTTTAATCAAAAATTCGTTAAGTTTTACAAAATATAAAATAGATTATAAAACAAATTTGAAATTAAAAACAACTTGGGCTTCCAGGTGCCCATGTTCGGGTGGAGGACTACGCTATTCAAAAATGAATATCCCTTTTTTTTTTCCCAATGCAAGAAAACATACATACATTCATGCAAATTCTTCATTATTTAACTTCTTTAAACACAATACTGGGCGACAATATTTAGTGGAAAAAATTTGAAAAGCGATTCAGCGCTTTTAGTGATTCTACGGAAAATGCCGTTTGTAGATTAATAGCTCTTTTGGGCTAAAAGCATGAAATCCTTAATCATGTATCACGTGATTATAAGGGAAAAAGTAGTCCAATTCTGAGACGTAATAAAAGAAACGATTTAAAAAATTCAAATTGTAGCAAAATAAAATTAAATAGGTGAAAAA